AGGGTCAGAGGACCGTTCAAATGACCCCCTACCTGCCTTTAAGGTAGTTGCACGGACGTGCAACTGCGAGCCATACACACCCTTAGCTACCAATCTGTACGCTTGGTATGGAGAAGGAAAGACGAGGAAGGAAGAACTACTACGTAGAATACAGGAGGGCGCCGAGGTCTTGTACCGTGGGGCGGCCGCTAGCCTCTGCTTACTAATCCCCTATTCCCCATTCACCTAGGGCCTGAGGCCTGCTAGCACCGGAGTAGTACTTAGTAGTATCTACCACGGTACAGGCCTAAGTATTACCCCTCGAGGGTGCCTTAAAAGTTTAGTTTCCACTTTAAACCCCCTGTTTTCCTTACCCTCGAGGGGTAATACTTACGCCTGCGACGTAGTAGTAATAATACTAAGTCATAAGAAGAAGCTTCTGATGAGTGTGGTTGTGGTTGAATGACTTGTATTCTCTAGAACTAGGAATTGGGGCGAGGTTTTAGCTCTCCTTCCACTTTACCTAGCAACACACCACTTCAACAGTGGAGGGGGAGAGCTTGTGTGTGGAGAGGATAATAATAGTACAACAACAACAACAACCTTTGCATACTTCATGCTTTATATGTACCACCCTTAATTTAGTCAATCAATCAGCAGGGACCAAAGCCTGAACCGGACTTTCTCTACGGAGGTATCGAATGGCCTGGCCCTGCCCTGCCCCACAAGCAAATTAAGTGCAGTGTAAAACCGACACCTGATCTGCCGGTACTTACGGAGTAGTACTGTACAACTTGCTACTTGTACGTAGTACGTGGTACGTCCCAGGCGTAGTAAGTATTACCCCTCGAGGATAGGGTAACCAGGGGGTTTATAGTGGGAACTAAGATTTTGAGGCACCCTCGAGGGGTAATACTTAGGCCTGTACCGTGGTACTAGCTATGGTTAGCTGACCATAAATAGCATAATTTTTAAGTACAGATATATTTAGAGTGTTTTCGACTTGGGGAGGGCCAAGTGAAACAAACATACGTAGTACTACTACCACGGTACAGGCCTAAGTATTTACCCCTCGAGGGTGCCTCAAAAGTTTAGTTTCCACTCTAAACCCCCTGGTTACCCTAGCGTCGAGGGGTAATACTTAGGCCTGTACCATGGTATATTAGTTTAGAAACAATTGGGTGCTGCCGAGAGCTTTTCGAGGCCTCGGCAGAAGGGTGTGTTGCTAGGTAAAAGTGGAAGGAGAGCAGGGTGCACGTGCCATCAAGGCAGTGCACGGACCTCAGGCCTTGGCACTGGTTCCTATACTACTGGTACAACCTCGCCCCAATTCCTAGTTCTACTAAGAGAATACAAGTCAATCAACCACAACCACAACCACACTCATCAGAAGCTTCCTCTTGTGACCTAGTATTATCATTAAGTAAGTATTAGCAATAACAGTTATCGGAATTCTATATATGTAAAGACACGTCACTTTAAGAATTGATTGGCGGATTATAATAGTCGATAGTATGTTTTTAATTATTAATGATTAGGTCTTTACAGTAACATCTTATAATAAGAGAAGACCCAGTTTTCATCCACTAACCTCCTTCCCGTCGAAATACATTGAGCTCAACTCTGTTATCGAAGAAGATACAGTAAAAGGAGCAGTTCAATTGCTTACTGTAGTAGATCTCAGCTTTAAAATAAAGTCCAACTTACAACCCATTTCCGTCGCCAATAGGGGGCTACGATTCTTGATCTATACGAAGTGCCCCTTACGAACCTTCAGCTCTTTCTCTCTCTTTTTCTTGCGGTAAAGAAAGAGATAAAGAATCCATAGAGCCGATATTAAATCATCGATATGCGACGTCTCTTCGAGGAGATTTTCCTTCACCGGCGGTTCCGAACTGTGACCATATGTCAGGTCTTCTAGGCCTATTCTCAGGTGCGCCAAGCTACTTCCTTCTTTTCCTTTTCATATTCTCTCACTTCTCTCGTTCCCCTCTTTTCACCCGTGAACCATGCATGGTTCATGCGTCCTTGGCGCTCCCCACCTTCGTGTATATACTATAAGCTTCAGCTTCCTTTAACCTCTCTACAATCGCTACTTATTGATTCTAAGTTATTACTTTGAGATCTTCATGAGCTCCATGTGATCCCCCGCGCTCCCGTGAGTTCCTTAGGTAATCGCTTAAGGTCGTCACCCACGCCGATTACGATCTATACTTAACGGGCATACCGATTGAAAAGACCAAAAGCATTTGCGATAGAAAAAAAAAAAAAAATGCAAAAGATAAAATAAGAAAGGCATAGTTCGACTAATCGAAAACACGGTATTAAGCTTTCGAAAAAGCGTTCTGCAAACATATCGGCTTTATTGGAGAGCTACGAACGCGAGCCTTTTTAGCTTTATGACGAAGGAAAACGATGTTTGTATTATACGGATCGAGGCCGCCCGTAAGGCTATACGTATTCGATAGTTGTCGAAAGACAACTCGACCCATAGCACTATGAATTGCTTTTAAGGGGTTTACATAGTATTCAACTTTGTACATAATTCCTCTACTTAGCACGTCGCCGTACCCCATGGGAGGTCCCTAAGGTCCAAGCCCTGCGTTTTGGATACCCGCCCGACGTTAATAAATACAACAAACAACAACAACATTCCGTCGCTAATCCCATGCCTATTATAGCCCCGCAATGGGCATAACGAGCGAGCGGATGAGGCCTTCATTATAGCTAGCTAGTTCCAAGAGCAAGGAACCTTCAAGACCTAGCCAGGGGTAATTGGGTTGCTCTTGATAAGGTCGGAGTTCATGTACTGCACATTACCGACACTAGTGCAGAAATCTTCCGCAATAGGTGTCAACTCGTCGCCATTGAAGACCGTATAATACCTACCGGTATTATTACTGCCCGGATCCTAGCGCAATCGCGATTTCGAGCTTTGCAAGGAACTCTATAAAAGGTTCCTGCCTTAATAGGGATGCTAGTGTTCAAGTTTTCCTAGCGTTGGTCCAGTGGTGCAAAAGTCGGCCGCGACCTTCTCTAGTAAGGTGTCGGATCCTGTAAGGGTGTAAAAGCCGGTAATGCCGGTGCCGGCGGCGCCGCTGCTAGTGTCGAGCTTGCAGCCTCGACGGAGGGCGGTTGCGACGCCGAGGAAGGGGGCGAGCAAGAAGAGGTTGTTATTGAAACGCATAATAGAGTTAGTAAATAAAGGTGATCGTTTTAACGAATTGAGCTTATAAGAAGATTATAAAGCATTGTGATGATAGGTAGTGTATAATAAGAATGAAGATATAAAGAGGAATAGCTTATTTTATATAGTTGTGACTACGAAATGGCTCGACAATTTCGTATATTATACTTACCATCGCTAGTATGAAAATAACGAGCAGTACGTAACTAAGACTAAAAGGATATAAGGAGGCCCACTTAAGCGAGCCGACGATTACGGGATAGGTACCTATGCGGATTGTTGAATGCCGGCGTAATAAGATTGAAGATAGAATATTCCAGAAACAAAGAATATACGGAGAAGAGAATGCCAGCATATCTTTAAGGATTGTTTGATAAGGGTTTCGAAGTATGGATTTATCACGTAGACTTTCAGACTTTCATAAGGGGACGGTGTACGTAGTACTACTGTACGTCCCAGGCGTAAGTACGTAGTACTACCTATAAGTAGTAGGTAGCGCCGGGAGCCAAAAATAGAAAACAGGGGCAGGCTGGTACTTACTCATTCGGCGAGGCTGGAAGCGGTTTAGTGTGCGAGATACGGAGCAAGCGAGACAATAGGGGGGGACGGGGCCGTCGACGAAGTAAGATGGCAGCAACATGAACTCGGTCGGCATGAGGTATGTATGTGGAGCCACGGAGTAAATTCCTGTTGAGGTGATATACGGAATATGGATCCCTCATGGACAGTGTGCTGAGGGTTCAGGGAGAGCAAACATACTATTAAATACGGATTAAGTGAGGGTGTGAATATGAACTCTGCCTACCCACAAGCACACAAGCACACAAGTAGACAAGCCTAACTCCTTCCAGGCTGGCGCCGCTGGTATAGTATGGTATGGTATGGTATGGTATGGTATAGTATAGTATGGTATAGTATGGTATGCAGTGAGCTCTTCTGTTCTATGTACGTACGACGGTACTTGACAAGATACAGTACAGTGAATATAAACAAGATGACAATCCAGAACCCTCCTCAGCTCCGTACATCTTCGAGAATCTTCTTCCCAGTAGTAAACGTGACAGACCACTTCCCCGGACTGGATTGCTTGCTCGCTGATAGAGGTTTGTCCGAGTCCCCGTCCACTAGTATGTCGAGGGATCTCCGGCTTCGCGGCTCTCGCGAGTGTGTACTTCGTACGTACTACTATGTACTCTGTATAAAGCAAGCGACCAGACCCCCACCCCTCCCCCTTCCTCCTCCGACCGGAACATTCCATCTCTACTCTCTCTTTTACTTCTAGATCATCTAATCTATCCTTGCTTGACATATGAGTATATATATATTTTTATACATGAAACAGCACTAAACTTCCTACCCATCCCTTCCTAGCATATCCCATCCATGACATACTAGTACTACGTAGGTATCAATTACTCATTCCGAAATAACCATAACGATTCGATCCGATCCGGAGCGCTATACTTATTGAATGCGGACCAACAAGTACCACGGTACAGGCCTAAGTATTACCCCTCGAGGGTGCCTTAAAAGTTTAGTTTCCACTTTAAACCCCCTGTTTTCCCTACCCTCGAGGGGTAATACTTACGCCTGCGACGTAGTAAGTACTAACTACTACGTAAGTACGTAGCTTGCCAGCCCAAGGAGAAGGACAAAAGAAACATTAGAAGAAGAATATTAGCTAGCTAGATAGCCATCCGTCACAGGAAAGGAGGAGGAGGAGGAGGAGGAGGAGGAGGAGGTCTTGCACTTCAAGTATACTACACACCTACCCTTCCCATCTTCCCATCTCCCCATCTCCCCTTCTCCCCTCAACATCAACATCAACATCACCACTCCCTAATCCAATAGCCACCCAGCTCCTAACATGACACAACACACAACACGCCATTAACTTATCTTACCTTACCAATACCGTCCTTTCATTTCATTTTATTTCATTCCACCTCCTTTCATTTCCTTCCATCTCACTCCATCTCATCTCTTTTCACTTCCTTTCATCTCTTCTCTCCGCCCCTTTGAGCTTTGCCTTTTAGCTTTGCCTTTTAGCTTTGCTTTTTAGCTTTGCCTTTGGCACTACTTTAGCTCTGGCTCTAGCTTTGCCTTTAGCTTTAACTCGGCCCTTACATACTACGTACGTACAGTAGTACTTACGCTTTCCCCCCCCGTCCCCCTCCCCGGTCTCCTCCTCGCCACTCGTTATCCATTCATCTCTCTCCAGGCGCCGCAGCCAACCTGCTGCTCGCCGTGAGAGGCGATGCAGGTGCGATGGGAAACGCGGCTCTCTTGTCGTGATGATCGATGTGATTGAGAATCTGCTACTCCGTGTGGTCTCAATCCGTCCGTATGAGGGAGGGAGGGCAGCGGGGATGGGGATGTGGGTGCGTGGGTGGGCTGGCTGGCTGGCTGGCTCTGAGTGTGGCGTCGGGTATGCATTATTTTTTTTATTTTTATTCAAAAAAATTATGTATTTATGTATCTATTTATTTATTTTGGTTTGAAATGGAACCCTTTTTCGCGTTTCGTTCCTTGATCCCCCAAGCATGTAAGTAAACAAGACGCATAGCAGAGAAGAGTCACTTTTTTTTGGGGGGCATGGGGATGCAGCTCCATTGCCATACATACTCCCCCTTACTTGACCAGAGATTTCAGGGGGATGTGTGTTGGTTGATGGGAATTGTTGATACCGGTATAGTAGTAGCTGGCTAGAACAAAGGCTAGGACCAATGATATCAGATCCTAGTCGATAGACTAAATAAGAAAATTCGTCTACATACAAGATGGGAGTCAAAAATGCTCGGAAGTCAACCTATACTCCGTACATCGACCCGCCCACGTTCAATGACGAAGCTGCGATGCCCAATCAGCCAATGCCATGATACACAAAAATAACAAGAACCGAAAGATCCCATACCAGGCAACCGTGCGGCGGAGAATGTCCACCCAGCGTTTGAAGATAACCCGCTAAAGTGTAAAATATCCATGAGTTCACAACTTAACAAGGTCCTGTGTACTGCTACTCTGTTGTACATCACCGAGCTCGTGCAGACTTCCACCGTCACCGGGCTGATGCTCTATTTCAAGAGGAAGACCACATTGCTCGAGTGGCCACTGCATCCTTGCTCTCCAATTGCTACCGACCCGCTCGGAGATGGTAAGGATAATGTTCAGGATCCAGCCGTGCACAAACCAACGACGGGGTAGTTCCTTGGTAAGAGTGCATCCATGCGCCAGGATGACTAACGCCATCGGCTGTCTCTGCTCAATCAGGGCGAGGTAATCGTCCGAAATGGTGAGAGGCCACAAAAACCTGGGCAGAGCTGGGCCGCTGTCTAAAGATCGTTGCATCTGAGCAATGGCGTCATGGTATATGGTTTTCATAGCGTCGCTATCTGTCGACGAAGCATTGAGTTGCTGTAGCTCCTCCAGCGCCGCTGCCGCAGCTGGATTTGGGACAAGTTGCGGGTCGACGCCGGGACTGGGAGAATTGCGAGCCACCGGTGACCGCGCTTCTACCAGCTGCTGTGAAGTGTCGAAGAGTTTCCAATAGCTTCGGAAAAATCCAACGATGGTGAAGAGCGTGTCGATCGGGTCCTGGACCGGTTCTTGGTTGCCCGCCGCGTCCGCCAGCTGGGCGGTGCCACAGGAAAAGATGAGAAATAGGCAGGAGAAGGCGGCAGCTGCTATGCCATTTATCTGGGTGATGTCCGATACCGTGGACCGGAAGAGCGTCAACGCCTCGGAGTGATGGGCACGGGCGCGTGATAGATACAGAGAAGCCGAAGGGTCGTTGCCCTTGAGGTGCACAATATGGAGAGCAGAAACGCCGAGCAGTGCATGCATCAGGAACTCATAGGACTGGGCTTGCCCCGGCACGATGATCTCCCATCGATGGCCGCCGTCGCCAAAATCGTGAAAGGTGCGCGCAGTACTCGTGGAATAGTGGTGCATCAACTCCAGATGCTCCAGGTTGATCTGGGATGGCGACGGCGCCGGGGGCTGTGGGTAGGACCTGGAGATTGTCATCCCTGCGCCGGACTGCGCATCTCTGTGGAGGTCATGTGAGCCAGGTACAAGAGAAGGGGGAGAGAGAGTAGAGCGCGAGAGGGAGGAGATGGAGTTCAGGGGAGTAAAGCGGCACGCACTTCGACTGTTTCCTCTTGCCCGCCGGATTGCATGTCGGGAGGCCAAACAGCTCGTAGTCACACAGATCTCGCCATTTGGTGCAGTTGGAGCAGCGAGGGGCGCGCTCGTCGCACTGGAGCCGGTCAGCAGGTGTCGGTGTCAAGATTAATTCGAGTAAATACGGGATATGAATCGACAGGAATGGAAGATGAAGCAATAGGAACAGGATATGATAAACAGATAAACAAGTACAGGGTAGGAATAAATAAGTACGGCATGGCAGCCCGGGATGTATGTATGGACTGGACCTGAAGTCAAAAGATGCGGGACACGACTGACTGGAAGCGGGATACGAGCAACTGATGGACTGACGACTGACGACTGACGACTAACGGACTGACGGACTGACGGACTGACGGACTACCTTACCTTCACTTTGCGCTTCTTGCATTGCCCACATCCGTTTCGCGACTTCGTATGAGGCCGTCTGGAAGCTCGCGATCCGGTTCCGTTTCCGGATCCGTTCATACTGCGGGCCTCGCTCGGTCTCCTGGATGATGATGATGGTGGTGCTGGTGCTGGTGGTGATGTTGGTGCTGGTGAAGCCGAGGCCGAGGCCGACGCCGATGGGGGTGCGGATAACGGAGCTGATGTTAATGGTGATGGAGATGGAGATATTGATGTTGACGATGGCGGCGCAGACCAGTTCATGATGGGTGAAGGAAGAGGGCAGTGATGCAGACTTGGCCAGTCGGGATGAAGATGATGGATGGGTCGGGCCAGTGTTAAGCTGAGTTAAGTTGAGCGAACACGTTGGTTGAGCTGAGTTGAGTTGAGTTGAGTAGAGTTGAGTTGAGTTGAGTTGAGTTGAGGATGAATGAGATGGGAAATAGAGTTGTCGTCAACTGATTGCGCGCTTGGCAGCATCGAGTTCCAAGTTGTCTGTCAGTGCAACGCCGCCACCGCCCGGAGAAGGGGAGGTAGGTGCCCATGGTGCCCATGGTGCCCGTGGGGCTCTTGATGCCCTTGCTTTGCCGTTGCTTTGCCGTTGCTTTGCCGTTGCTTTACCCTGGAGCCTGAAACCCGACAGAGATTTTGTGCTTGGATCTTCCTTTGCAAGCAGCCAGCGTCCCCAGTAGGCCAGGTAAGGTGCCCAAGGCCAGAGTCGGGCAGGGCACTCGGCCACTCACCCTCTCGGCCACGGCACAAATACAACCACCGAACACCAACACAGCCACCAACACCAAGACCACACCACCACCACCACCACCACCACCAACACAACCACCTACACCACCACCACCACCTCCACCTCCACCTCCACCTCCACCTCCTCGAAACCTCCACACCTCCCCGCGGCGGAAGTAGCCATCAAACCAAACCACCACCGTCTCTGAAAAACTAGAACCTCCAGTGTTCCGGATCTAGGTGGCCCCTCAGCCTCAGCCATAATAACATCCCGGATCCATGGCTTGCGATGCGCAACGTGACGCCCCAGGGACACATGGCCAAGCAATGCGGTGTGTGGGTGGTCACCAAAGTTAGCACAGTAGTTCTAGATTCGCCGACCCATGCTGGTATGGGTGCATCAAGGAGTTTCAAACCGCTACAGACAAGCATTCTACGTCGCTGGGAAACCAAAATCATCATCTGGAATCGTGATGATCGACCCCAGATCTAATTATAGTGGAGAGACCGGCAGAGCGTCATGCTATTTCAAACTTAGATTGCGACTCGCAAATCATCTTGCGTCTACCGGTATCTATATACAGCTATCGACCAAAATCATAAATCGCGCGAGGGTATAATGCTGGTAACCACGCCGGACCCCGTTGTTATGTACAGTGAGTATACAGTGAGTATATAAGACAGAATTATGAGGCTGTGTCCCCAGCCCAAGATGTTTCAAGGTAAATGAGAGGTTGTCTCGACGACAGGTATTCCGTGGGATCAGATCTCCCAGTCTTGCTTGATGCCAACGACAACAAGAGTGACCTGCGAGCGAAAACAATTAGCCGACTGCACAGGACATGGGATGATGGTGTACATACGATTGTCGCCAAGATCAGCAACCCGACCACCGACATCCATCGGTTCAGGTTCCGCCACCACTTGGCGCTTTCATAGCGACGCTCGTCCATGGGCCCAAACTGACGGGCGTAATGATTAGGTGTCGCATTAGCTTCGTCCAGATTACTGGTACTATTATCCTGCTCGCGCATATGGAGCTCAGGGTTGGGGGGCAGAGGTAGGAACGCTGCAATCATCCAAGCTGGAATAGATCAGCAATCGAGAAAACCGCAGAGAGGAGAGAGGAGAGCTTACCAAAGGGGAACACAAATCCCGCAATAAACATTAACAATTGCATGTTTCTCCGGCCAAGCTTCCCACTCTCTGCCGACCAGTTCACCGACGGAGGGTTCCAAGCGCTTCTGTGCTTAGCTCTTTTGTCAAGTCGAAGATGCGGCGACCACATGCTTGACATACTCCAAGTCCTGTGTCGGCTTGTACTTGGGTCGTGTGTACGTCTGTTGGTGTCTTGTTGAGGCACAGGAGTGATGTCCAGGGAGCCTTGTGACTCTCCATCTCGATATCTCCGTCTCGGGCTGGATATAGAAAGCTGAGAGTTGCCGGTGGTACCAGAGCCGCTTCTCAGAGAATTGAAGCGGCTATGGCCTCGCTGTACGGGAGTCCCTGGAGCGCCCAATTGATGCCTCTCACCACTTCCATAGTATAATTTGGCCCAAGTAGGGATAGTATGAGGCAGGAGACTATTGGATCTTGAGCTTGTAGTGGAGCGCATCGTATTTGTCCGTCCGGCATCCGAGGATGAACTACTAAAGTACGTGGATAGTCGCCTCCTCGAAGATCTCGTCCGTAAGTCTTGCATATCTGTGATACCGTCTCCGTATTCATCTTGTTCCTCCACCATCCGGATCGATGTGGTACTATTCTGACGCCCGTTGCGCATGAAAGCTGGCATGGGTGGCATGGGGGGCTCGAAAGAGCCGCTGCGTGAGCTCTGAATCAGAGAACTCTGATCCTCTCCTAGTGCCTGTGAAGAGGAAATACTTCGCATCTGACGACTGTGATGACTTGGCGTGCTTCGATATCCGCTGCTCCTCCATCCATTTTCGCTCGACCAAGACCTCGAATGTCGATCGGTCTCGCCATCCGACACCGAGAGCACAGTCGACAGCTGTGAGCTCCATTGGTGCGGGTGCTCCTGCATGTGTGACCGCGGTGGGTTGAACTTTTGAGGCGGCGCCCATGTACTCGTTCCCTTGGGCCTGTGTTTGAGAATGGGATTTGGCAATTGAATGAATGAACCTGTTCCAAGTATAGACAGGAAAGCGTCTTGTTGACTAAAGACCGTGGAAATCGAGGTCAGAGAGGCCGTACGAAGTGTCTCGCGAGACCGAGACTTGTACTTTCTTAGGATTTCGACTGATCGTTGTTTGCGGGCTTTGGGGTTGAGGGGAGGTACAACGAGAGCCTCCTGTGAATAACCACCAGGCAGGTCAGGATGGACGTAGGAATCGGCTGCTATCGAATTATCACCCTGCGGTTCGTTATCTTCGTTCTCGGATTTGACAGTTTGTGGGCGATAGATGACCGAGCCCGAAGGCGAGGACTCTGCAAGCACTTGGTAGTTGGAACCACTGGATGAGGGTGGGGCGACTTCGGACTCCGAGGGAGACTCGTCGCCGTAAAGTTTGTAATTGGTGTTCTCGGAGGTAGTTGTGGCAGTTTCTGTGGACTGGAAAGAGGATTTCGTGGAGAGATGGTGCGACGTGGTAGGGGGTCCGTCCGATGTCTCTGGCAGCGGGCTCACAGATGATGTAGCAGCTCTCTGCTCGAGATCAGGAGTTTTAGGTACTTGACGAAGTCCTCCAACTAGCGGATAATGCCAGGGAGAGGTGATTATATGATCTGCAGGTGTTGGTTGCTTCCTTTGTGGCGAGGCTGGAGTCGCAGGACATATGGGTGATGAGGTCTCTGATCTGCATAATTTTGTGGAATTGCATCTAGATCTATCTTTGGCATGACCTTGATTAAAGGGGATCGAATCGGATAATATGTCGCGGGTAGAAAAGAACAAGGATGTCGGTGATTTCGAGGCATCTTCTTCAGGCTGGGGTTCATCCTGGGTGGGCACCAGGGAGAAGGTCTTCTGGTCTGGGTGGATTTGTAGACGATTTTTGGAGCGCTTCTTTGGCACATTCCGGAGCGGCTTCGAGCTGCTGGGAGAAGACTGACGGATTGACGAGAGATACGGGAGAGAGGATTGAAAGGATTGAGATGATTGAGATGATTGAGAAGAGCCGCCGCCGCTGTTCGGTGGCTGGCCTGTATTACCTCTGGTGATTCGTTGTTGAAATTGAAATTGAAATTGAAACTGCTCATCTAATGCACGAGGGAATGAGGCTGAGCCTTGCTCTTGCCCCTGGTGCTGATAGACGCGCCCCTTTCCGGGGACGGGGTCGGGGTCGGGGACGGGGACGGGGACGGGGACGGGGAATGGGTCAAGCAGATGGCTTGGATGTGTTGGGAGGGGTGTCCGTGAATAGACCTCATCAAGCTCAGGGCCGAGAGCGAGGAGTCGCGGAGGTGTCGAGGGAACGAGGCGGATCTTAGCGAGTGCATTCTGATGAGATGGACTACTCTCATGCAAGACCCGTCGAGGGTTAGTCGAATTCGCTCCCGACATGAATTGCTTCGTATCTTATCTGCTCGGGCTCGGGCTCGGGCTCTGGCTCTGCAATGAAATGAGATGAAAAACCGCCGGGAACGTCGTATAGCTGCCCCCAAGCCCACGAGCTATCATACCGAGAGGGGAGGGGCAGTGCTTTCGGTTCCTCGTGAGTGGTGAGTGAGTGGGTAAGTCGTGATGATATTTATTGGTAGGTTCAGGTAAGCTTTCCGTCCGTCGCAGCGCAAGGGACGAGAATCGTAGGTATCGTGAGGGAGTCGGACTAATATAGATAATGGTCGGGATTAGGAGGTCGTTATCATGGATGGACTGAGACGGTCATGGTCATGTAGGCCGTTGAAGCGCGCGTAATGAATGGGTACAGAGAAAGCAGCGGCAATGCAAAGGCAACGCAACGCGCAACGCGCAACGCAAAACAAAAGAAAGACAGGCCAGAAACGAGTGAATCAGAAGGATGGAGGCAGCCCGTAAGGAGGAATTAGTGAAGGAGAGGAGCCGGGAGAGGCAGAGGGAGGCGGAGAGGGTGAGGGTGAGGGTGAGGGTGAGGGTGAGTGAGAGCAGAAATAGAAAGAAAACGTGGAGGGAAATTGGAGAAAATGGATGCTATTTTCAATGGCGCTGCGTTGCGTTGCGTCCCGTCCCGTTGCTTGCTGATGTTGCATCGCCGCCCTGGTCTGTCTTGCCTCTGCCCTGCTGGCATCCCAATCCGCCATCCGCTATCGACTGACTATTCAGCGTGAGCCGCGTCGAGCAGAGCCGGCTTTTGCGTCTGGATTGGCTGGATGGAAGATAGTTTGTGCACCCACCAGCCGGGCTCCACGTTGGTGCAGATGTCTGGATGTGTTCCTGCGTAGCGTCGGTAGGGGTACAAAGTCGGTGTAGAAAGGACGGAGAGAAGAGTAGAGTACCGGTAGAGTATTCTAGGGTAGAGTAGGAGAGAGAAGAGTCGGATACAGTAGAGGAGAATAAGAGCAGAGAAGAATAGATTAGAGAAGAATAGAGAAGACTTCAGGATCTCTAACGCAGAGACACGGATTTGAGGGGGCATACCGGGGATACTAATGGCAATGAACAACAACTAAAAGGCTACGACTAAGTATATAATAATAAGTTATTATTATTGCGATTGCAATAGCAGCTCTGCTACAGCCAGCATCAAACTTGCATTCCCTTGCGCAATTCATATCTGGCCAACCTATTCAATAGATAATAGCAGATCATATAGGTTATATAGGTCATATGGGTAGTAATCATACTTCGTATCATATCTTTCTCTTTTGCTCCAAGTCACTCCGACTCTTGCATGCGAAATAAGGGAGACCTTTAGCTCATGGAGCATCCGCCTTTTTCCGTATCTGTCATCTATCCCATTCCCCTCCGTGCCAGATGCACGATACAGCACAGTCCAGCATGAACGCGACATGAACGCGCCGAGGGCTGTGCTACAAAAACGGTCAACACCATGCGAGATGCCGTACTATTGAAGCGCTGTCGGACCGATTTCCTTCTCCAATTGCCTGGATAGGACTAGATCGAGCTTTCCTTCTAACTGGACAAAAACATAAAAACCAAGTGATGTAGCATCGCAATCTTGATGATGGAATACAGCTTAACAAATAAATAAACACCCCGACAGGATAGATGCTTGCACTACGCTGGCGTGCCACCTGGGCGGACGTGCCTCTCCAACAGCTAGTAAAATGAGAACAGTATATCGAGATCAATGCGATTCGAAACCCAATTTCAACTTCTGGGGAGAACGATGGACAGAATCAGTTAAAACAAGAATAGACTACAGGTAAGTATTACGACTAAGACGAATAGAGCCTAGGAGAGTCCGTGCGGAGGAAGTTTCTATTACTGCGAGAAAAAAAAAGCTCGAAAATTAAAAAGAAGTTGTCGTTGTGGATGAGTAAAGAATACGAAGGTAGCTAAAGTGCGGCAAGAAGGCAAGAGATACTTCTCTACCTACAACAGTTATGTTCCGATTACCTCAAAGAAAGAGGATGACTGACACCTTCCTTGCCTTGAGTTAGTCAAGGCAAAAAGGTACCTACCTAAGTAAAGCAAATGTAGTCCGGGGAGGACATTCGAACGTACACCACAACAAATGGAAAAATACAATGCAAAGGCAGTCGGGTCTCGGGTGAATCAACACACGGAAAGTGGCATTCCTCTTTATCTTGTTGTTTCCCTTTCTTTCTCATTCTCTCGTTCGCTTTCTTTTCCTTTCTCTTTCCCCTCGTACCCGCATTCCTCTTAAGCGGAACCAAAGAGGAACCAAAGTATCTCCAGCCTGCGATCAAGGGCACTTGAACATCACACCTACATGACTTCATCAAGATGGCACCAGTCGGCATCTACTCACGTCTAAAGTCCTTCTACACAGGCGAAAAGGGTCAGTCAGCACAGCACAACACAGCACAAGCCCCTCCTCCCCCTTAGCCAAGTTAACGAACTACCAGAGCCAGAATTGCCTCCTATCAGCACCACCACCGCGGTAGCCTTGTTGGTACGGAAACCCCTCGTCCAATATCCAATAGTCAATATCCAACATCCAATGTCCATCACCCATCATACTAAGCCTCTCTACCTGTCCAGGTCGTCTATACACTCATCTACGTCCTCCCTTTCTACCTCTCCTCCGCCACCCGCCCCTCTCCCAACCTCTCTCGCGATGCGCCGTCCGTGATTCGGGGCCGCATACGCCTCGTCACCATCACCTGCGTCCTCTGCTCCATCGCATCCTTCACCCTCCTCTCCTCCGTCGATGGCGGCACCTTTGTAGGAAGTCTTCACCACATGGGCTACGCCCCCCTCGGCATACCTGAAACCGCGAAGAGCCTCGCCCTCACAGCGATCCTATTCTTAGGACCACTATTCGAAGCCGGCATTGCGGAGGGAGGATGGCGGGGCTGGGTACGGGGGACGGGGCTGGATGAGGCCCTCAGTTCGTGGATCGGCTACAGGAATTACGTCGCGGTAAGATAGAGAGAGGTCTCTTTGCTGTTCTCGCACCGGAGCAGCAGAGCAAGCGCTGCGGCTAATATACGGTACCAGGGCCCGGTAACAGAAGAAGTGCTCTTTCGCTCTGCCGCCGTCCCCCTCCTCCTTCTCGCCCGCACCTCGAACACCACCATCATTTTCCTCACGCCCATCGTCTTCGGTCTCGCCCATTTCCACCACTTCTACGAGTTCCGCATCACCCACCCCGACACGCCCGTCGGCCAAGCTGTTTTCCGCTCTATCTTCCAGCTGCTGTATACGACGCTGTTTGGAGGCTATGTGACGTTCCTGTATATGCGGACAGGGAGTTTGCTGGCTGTGATACTGGTGCATGCTTTCTGTAATTGGCAGGGCTTTCCGAGGGTTTGGGGCAGAGTCACGAGGGGTGAGATGATGGTGCCAGTGGAAGTTGGGGAGGGGAAGAGGAGCGAGGATCTGAAGAAGGAATTGAATGGAGAGCTGGGAGTGGTGTGGACCATTGCGTATTATGTGCTGTTGGTAGTGGGTGCCGTGGGATGGTGGAGATGCCTTTGGCCGCTGTCAGAGAGCGATATGGCGTTGACGACTTTCTAGCTCCAGAGTATTGGGGCAGGACTCTGCGCCGTTTTGGGAGTTTACTAATTGCTAAACATGGAAACAGCTACAAATTTTTGACATTCCGTGAGAGAGAAGTGTGATGTAATGCATGAAGTGAGACTGTCCTTTTTGACGACGGGCTCTAATTTCTTACTGGAACTTCAGTGTGACCCAATATGCTCCGGTATATGGCATTATTGCGTAACGCCATCCCCAGACACCCCTCAGATATTGAAACAACAAACCACAAGCCCTTTTCAGACTGCGTTCAGATCCAGCTCCTCAAATCTGTCAGCAGCACGCTCCCTCAAAGATTTTTCGGCTTAGAAGCTGGCACAGTCTGCGCCCTCTTAAGACTCAGCCTCCTCCGCCTATCCTCCATCTCCGCCTTGACCTCGGACACCAACTCATCCAAATCCTTTTCGGGCTCCGATGGCAAACCTAAGATTGGTTCTTTGCTTGAAAAGCTCTCCTGACTCATCGTTCTCTTCAAAGGCCCTGTCGTAGCCGCTCTCGCATTAAGTTTCTGAATCAACATCGCTTTTGCAGGTGACGCAAAGAAAGCTGTTGCGAGAGCGGTACCGATCACAGCGTAGAAGTAAACGCGGGCCCAGACAAGGAAGGACGCCGGAAGGGTGAGGAGGACGAAAGGCGCTGTTACGAAGGAGAACGAGAGTTGAGTGATGAGGTAGGAGAATATGTCGTAGTAGATTTTGCTTGAGGTTGGTTGGCTTGTCTCTGGGTCGAGGAAGAAGGGGCGGAAGTAGCGGCGGCAATCTGACCATTGTCAATCCTTCAGCCAAAGAAAAAAAGAAATGGAGGGAGAGAAATCCTACTTTTTGCAACTGTTTGCACAAAGCTCGCCAGTACGAATGTCAAGTAGTACCCTGGGTAAAAGCCGTGCCAAAATGCACTGGTGACGAAAGTGGCCATACTGGCTCTGAACCCAGGTTTTTTCCCGCGAGGTGTTACCCGTAGGTAGATGTAGTTGCGTAGCCAATTATTGGTGTTGATATTCCAGTTTCCAAGGTAGGCACGAGTATTTTGAGCAGACTCGACGCCCCATGGATTTACGTTACGAAGGCGATCCCATGATACCTTCCCAGTGACTGGATCAACCCCTTTGTAGCCGAGACCAGAGAGGATGCAAGCTCCTTCAGTCAAAGCCCAGACACCGTAGTACTTCAGTCTGGTTGTAAAACCAAGCATGTGAAGTATCAAAACCCGGCGGGGAAATCGGTAGGTCAAGTATTTGTCGCCAGTCAGCAAGTTGGGATAATACCATCCACTGAGTTGCAGGAACATGATGATCCAAAAGACTCCTGTCGCGGCTTTCCATGCAGCTGGAGTCCCACTTCGAGGGATCTTTCTCTTCTTTCGTGTTGGGGCCTTCTTGGAAGGGTCGACTCCAGCTGGGACTTCGAACATGGTGGTTTCGATCCAGCGCCTGTATTCGACATAGTCGAAAGCCGGTCCAGCAAACAGTGATGGGAAGAAGAGCACATAGCCAGCGTAGTTGAGCAGCGAAGGAAGTTTTTTCAGTGCTCTCTCCCTCTGGAATTCTGACAGATCCTTCTCTGGTAGCCGGCCATCTGCAACATTCCAACAGAAAGCCGTGAGCTTCATCACGAGGACCATCTGGGCGCCGGTAATGTCTACTGATCCGGGGTCATTGGCCCACTGGCGTCCAAGTTGATTGATGGACATGTGACCCATGAGGAACAAAAATCCAATCCATGGCATGAAGGGGCCTTGGACATGCTGCGCGATGCAATAGGCGCCAATGGAGCTGATGGCCAAAGTTCTGACGCCGGACCAGAGGTCGAAGAGGCCAACCAAGTAGAATGAAGAGACACTGCCATTACTGTTAGCAAATGCTAAGAGCCGTCCGTTAGGTAGGAGAGAATCCGACGTGCCCAATGATGAAAAAGTTCTTGAGGTATGGCTTCTCATCTGGAACGCGCTTGAGAAGGGCAGCGAGTGGATAAGAGAGCAGAAAGGAGGTGATGAGTTTCACTATCGATTGATTAATTAGTGAGTTGGATGGTCACAGCGTATATGGATATGAAATTTGGAGATTGGAAGGGGCTGATCGATCTTTTTCCTTCCTTCGACTTACATTCATCCGTGGAAGCCCCCAAAATTCCAGCGATATACTGAAAAGCTGTTGACGTCAGATGCGGCGGCGCAGGTGTAGTAGAGAGCACTTCAGGGAGGGAGAAGGGAAGTTCAGCTCACGGAGGTCCACGTAAGGCAACATGGCGGAGGATATAGTGAGCGAAGTTCTCAATATGATGGCTACTCGTGGTTGTGGTTGTCCTTTGGTCTGAATGTTGGATCCCATCGGGTCGGTCCATGGCCGGGGTGGAGTAGAAGCGAAGGCCCGGGCTTCTGGGCAGGGGTTTTTGACCCAAGCTTCTTGCTCTCGGGAACAAAACAAGCCCTCACTACGAACCGCCGAATTGAGTCAAGAAACCTCTCATCCACCATCCCAGCGAGCGCAGCACGCAGCAACAATCGCCTCCCAGCGACCGAGCAGACGAACAGACCCAACCCAACCCAACTCAGTTCCCAGCCCGGCCTGGGGAAGCAGCATCGATTCTCTGCTGAAGACATGGTCATACTACCCCGAACCTTGACACCATGGATGTTGTACAGGCAGTGTCGGGCTACATCTCCAAGATGGTGTCTGCTGGGGACAATGCCTCTGGAACCCCTTCTGCGAAGATGAAGATATTACTTCTGGATAGCGACACTGTATCCATCGTGTCTACCGCCATCACTCAGTCTGCCTTGCTGAACCACGAGGTCTACCTAATCGATAGGCTGGACAACCAGAATCGAGAGAAGATGCGGCATCTGCGCTGTCTCTGTTTTGTGCGTCCTTCTGCGGACTCCATACAGTTCCTCATCGACGAGTTGCGGGAACCCAAGTACGGCGAATACAACGTATACTTCAGTAACGTCGTCAAGAAGTCTTCTCTGGAACGTTTGGCCGAGGCAGATGACCACGAGGTTGTGAAGCTAGTACAGGAACAATTCGCTGATTATATCGTCGTCAATCCGGACCTGTTTACTCTGGACCTGGCATTTCCTAAGCAGCGATTGTGGAGCACGAGCCCCGATATGTGGAACACGGATGCTTTACAAAGGACAACGGAGGGGCTTATTGGAGTATTGCTGTCTTTGAAGAAGAAACCCCTGATAAGATATGAGAAGAACAGCCTATTGGCGAAGAAACTGGGTACCGAAGTTCGATATCATATCACCCAGGAGGACCAGCTATTTGACTTTAGAAAGGTCGACACGCCTCCTATACTTTTGATATTGGACCGGCGAGATGATCCCATCACACCTCTACTGACCCAATGGACATACCAGGCAATGGTCCATGAGCTGCTGGGCATAAAAAATGGCCGGGTTGACCTGAGTGAGGTTCCTGATATTAGGCCAGAGTTGAAGGAGGTTGTTCTCTCTCAAGACCAGGACCCGTTCTTCAAGAAAAACATGTACCTCAACTTCGGAGACCTTGGTGGTAATATCAAAGACTACGTTGAGCAGTATCAGTCGAAAACTAAAAATAGCTCTAATATCGAGTCGATCGAAGATATGAAACGCTTCATAGAGGATTACCCGGAATTCCGAAAGCTGTCGGGTAACGTGAGCAAACACGTGACGCTTGTTGGCGAACTGAGCAGGAAGGTGGGCTCCGAAAACCTCCTTGAGGTCAGTGAAGTGGAACAGAGTCTAGCATCTAATGACAACCACGCTAGCGATTTGAAGGCATGTTTTGAGATCTCAATCCATCTACCGTCCAATTGTCACTTACACTCTGCAGAATGTTCAGAGGCTCATCCAATCGCCCGCTGTAACGGCCGACTCGAAGCTCCGGCTCGTGGCACTGTATTCGCTAAGATATTGGAAGCACCCCAATAATGCTTTGCCGATTCTAGTTGACTTGCTTACCGCAGCTGGTAACGTTCCCCAACGACGCATCGATCTCATTGCAAAACTCCTCACCTATCACTCATCACTGCAGCAAACCCAAGCTTCAGGTGGGATCTCCGATATTTTCGAATCAGCAGGCATCTTCTCGGGCGCTCGGGATCGTTTCAAAGGCCTGAAAGGCGTTGAGAATGTGTACACACAACACTCACCGCGATTAGAATTGACTTTGCAGAACCTTATCAAAGGGCGACTGAGGGAGCAACAGTACCCGTTCATCGAGGGTGGCGGATCAACTCGTGACAAACCGCAGGACATTATCCTCTTCATGATCGGAGGCGTCACGTTTGAAGAAGCGAAGACTGTGTCCCAGATCAATGCCTCTTCGCCAGGCATTCGTATCGTTCTTGGGGGGACGTCTGTGCATAATAGCACTACCTTTTTGGAGGAGATGGAGGATGCAGTGGGTTCGTGGCCGGAGCCGCCTCCTACTACTGCTGCTGCTAGGCTGAGGAAAGAAACGGGGCGGAGGTAATTTAGCGATAGCAGGGCGTTTGAGGTGGGCAGGGACGAAAATATACCATGACAGCCGATTGCACGGTTCAGACCGCAGAGAATTGGACCATAGCCAGCATTGTTGACCGAAACTCCCCAACAGTGCCATTTTTTATGTCTATGATACTTGAACTAAATCTTACGACTGCAACCCGGCTCTCGGTCACTTCTACCACGTCTGCAAGGCGAAATTTGCCACGTCACACACCATGACCAGTCTAGCTCTGCTTCTTTCGTCTTTTCTCCTCCTTCGAATAGCGCATGCCGTGGGACAGGAGTAGATACTTGCTGAAGAAGTCTTCTGCAAAGTCGTCAAATTTGACGTAGTTGGCTCCCACTACGCTTTCGCATTAGCAAGCTTCAAGAGCGGATAAATCCTGGAGCGAAATCGACCGAGCCGGGCTCAAAAGAGGGAACGTCATTCTGAGGTATTTACTTACGGCGGTAGGCTGCTGCAATGCCACTGACGCATGCCAGCTCATGCATATTCTGCAAGTTGTTAGTAAAGATTACCTCAACTCTGGTCTACTTCCGAGGGGATCTTACCACCAAAGTCCAGGATCCAGCAAACGAAGTATGCTTCTTACCATTGATAAACATCATTCCTGAGAAGCATTAGCAAGCAGCACCCTGACGCCAGGCTCCGAATGGCGAAACACTCACCAGGCACGACCCGCACATAATGCTGCCACTTGTGTCCAAGCTGGTGCCACCACTTCTTCTCAATAACCTTACTCTCGTCAATCTCCTTCCACGTCCACATCTCCTGGTTCGTCTTATCTAGAAATATGCTCTGGTAGACATGATCGAATTCGCCGTCCACCTCCCCCTCACCCCCGGTGTCCATCCTGAACTGGTGTTGATACCGCGAACAATCAAACGACATCTCAATTTTCTGCGGATCCTCCTCATACGATTTCGTGAAGTAGAACGGCTTGAAGCCCTTCGCTTCGCCGTCCGGGCCTTCTTTCTCGCCCTTTGCAAACGCTATTTGGTCTTCCTGTGCTTTGCTTTTTGGGCTCGCACATAGCTTTGCATCGAATTTGGTCTCATAGTGTTTGTTGAAATATTGAGAGTCAGAGTGAGTGATGGTTATGTCGTCGAAGAAACTGGCGCCTCCGAGCACAAATCTTTCTGTTCGGGATGCCGTCTTTCCTAGGAGGCGCAAGGCGTCGTCAGCGAGTACGCACATGACGACTTCGTCATACGTTTCACTTGTCGATGGGGGCGCTGTTGAGGAACTGGGAGTGGTGTCGGGACAGGGGCGAATGTTAAGGATGACTCCTTGGTTGTTTCGCTGAATCATCTCAGTCACTTCTGTGCGAAGGCGAATTTCGACACCCTTTGACTCGAGGTCTTTTCTCCACTATTCATATGGTCAATAAAAATATGAATCGACATAGCAAACGGGCTTTAAAATCGGTAGTGGATCGTTGGACACTTACATCCTCGTAAAAAATATGGAGGTTCGGAAACGTGACCATCGTTGGAAGATTCGGCAGAAGCGTCTCTGAATCATAGTCCCATAGCTTCATATTTGGATCATCGAACAACCGCTCCAGGATCGCACAAGACACATTCGCTGTCTGATTGCCGGTTCCCAAGAACAGAGCAATGAGTGGGTACACCATTTTGTCTCCAAAATCCTTGCTGAAGAAGAACATCCGGAGCATGATTCGAATAGGGACCAAGCCCAGGACAGGAATCGTCCATTTGATGAGCTTGAGGACTTTGCCGAATTTCCTAATGTCTTTGGAAAACGTGTTGACCAGGTTGCTTGGGAAGCAGTTTGTCCAGAAGCCATCGGGACCTTTTCCGAAAGCGACTTGCAACTTAACTTCTTGGGGCTCGTGACCGTACTTTTTGAAGAAGTTGAAGGTGTGCTTGAAGATCTATGGACATCAACAATGAGAGACCGTGGGGGGATGATAAGATGAGTTACTGGGGATCCACCCTGGACGCCATTGTTCATCCAATCCGTGCCGTATTTGGCTCTATCGAGTGAGATTGAGGTTGCTTGGCCTCCTGTGACCTCGTTCCGCTCGATGATCGTGACTTTGAATTTGTCGGGGTGCGATGCAAGGGTGGCTGCACAGGACTGACTCTGTTAGTAAGAGCCCTATGTACCAACCGCACCGAGCAGATGGCTAAGTATGAAAACTTGAAGTGTCTCGGAAGTCATGGAATATACTTAAGGAAACTGCTGGGTTACTTACCATACCTGCTGCACCGGCGCCAATAATGACGACCCTCTTGGGGTTTGTTGACTTGTTCGGCATGATGGCAGCGAGTCGGAAGCAACGTGAAGCCTGTTACCCGCGATGTCGCCGCGGTCGTAAACAGAAGAGCGTTCTAGCTTCAGTTATATCTCATCGAATCGTCAACGTCATCAACAACTAGTTGGCAGGCGAATTTCTGCTCTCGGCCATAGTCTGACGCGCCATGTATCACTGCTGGGCTGGGATCTGGTTGCCAGCGTGAGAAAACATATTTCCTTTCATTTGTTTGTCTGTTGATTGCCTATGTATGTAAATATCTGTGTACATTTTATATTTTTTATGTATGTATGTATGTACAATATCTATGCGACCTCGTACAGAGGAAGGTCAGGCTCGGCTAAAGTATTGGCAATGTGGGGCAGAGTCCAACGACGCCGACAGCTTGCACTCCTAAGACATGGAGTCCATAGTCCTCTCCATCTAAGGGAACTCACCCACCTCACCATAACAACCAAACACATGTTGTCAGTTACCTTGGCCTGCGGAACTATTACTGTTGGAAAACACAAACTGCTTCCACGCTGTCTTGCGTGAGCAGCATTGGAACATCTCGTTGCCCAGCTGAGCCAAACGACCAATCACCTGACCCCGTGTCCGCATACTCGCTGCCAGAATGTCTGATTCCGAGAGCGATGAAGATCTCAAAAGAGCAATTGCGCTGTCGCTGCAAGAACAACCACCTTTTGCTCGTCCACAAGATTCTATACTCATCGATCTTGTGAGCGATGACGACGACGACGACGACGACGACGATTTGGACGCACCTGTGACCGCCAAGCCAGCTACTCGGGAATCCCAACCGTTATCTGCAGATGCCCCAGCCAACCCAGGCTCAAACCATACCGCCAGTCAGACTCCAGCCACCCCAAGCAAGTCTGTTGTTTTGAAAACACCGAATGAACCAGCGAGGGCTAAAGATGTGGCCCCTTCCGTAGGACTAGCTGGACTGGATCGAAGATCTATGGAAGAGGCAAGGCTTAAGCGTGTTCAGATGCAACAAAAGGGAGCGGCTCTCTCCGTAGACCAGAGCATACCACGAAAACGGCAGGCTTCCATCTCCTCACCTCGTCTTAGAGAGCAGGAGAGGCCGCATACAAAGGCTAAATTGTCTGATACCGCCGCACCCACACGCAATCTGCACAGTGTTCTATCTCTGAACATAGAAGGAGTTCAATATCCAGATGGCATAGTGAAGAAAACCTGGGTGAATGGGATGCCGCGCCACGGAGATGACATCAAGATCGAGGAAGTCTTGCAAAAGAATGATCTGGAGCTCGCAGTGTTGAGCGCATTTCAAATTGAGCCTGAATGGGTGGAGTCGAAGTTGAATCAACGAACCAAGGTGATATGGGTTCTTCAGGCTAAAACAGACGCCGAGGTACGTGGCTCTTGATTTTCTGTAATATTCACCGGTTGCCGTGGATAAATCTAGAGTATCTCCCGTGTTCTTTCGGCTCGAGCCAAGTCTGGTCAATGTGGATGTTGTTCTTGTTTTTGGGCTCCCTGATACATCTGGTCCGGTTTTCTCCACGCTGGAATGAATTTCTATCTGAGAAACGGCATGCCGAAGGGTAAGTGCGCAACTTTTCGATATGCTGATAGCAATTAGAGACAGAACATAAGCTCCAAAGCACCTGCTAATTATCGCTTTTGTTTTCCAAATATGGAGGGTAATATAAACTGCATGCATTCGAAATTACAGTTACTTGCACACCCTACCCATCTTCGGGTAGTGGTACCCAGCGCAAATCTGACCTCATACGACTGGGGAGAGACTGGCATAATGGAAAACATATGTTTTTTGATCGACCTTCCTCGGCTACCACCTGGAGAGAAGACTGTAGTCACAAATTTTGCCAATGAGCTTGTTTACTTCGTGGAGCAAATGGGTCTTGACCAAAAGACGGCGACTAGCCTACAGAATTTCGACTTTTCTCGTACAGCCCACTTGGCATTTGTTCATTCCATGTAAGTCATGGCATGCTCGTTACTGAGTCGCATACTAATCTGGTCCTCTCGAAAGAGGGGGCTCACACTCAGGATCAACATGGAAGCGAACCGGGTACTGTGGTCTGGGGACAGCTATCAAAAAACTTGGAATGGCTACCGAAGTCGACCTGAACATTGAATTCCTGGTACGAGGCGGTTGATCTATATATAAAAAAAAAACATCCGATGCTGATTTATTCAGTCAGCATCTATTGGCAGTCTCAACGACAGCTTCATGGAGTGTTTATACCTAGCGGCTCAAGGTAAACCTCCCTTGATACCCTTGCTACCATTTCACACGGTAAACCTGGTTTGAGAAGGTCCAATCTAGGCAAATGCCAGCCGTCCGCTCTATCAAGAGATACCAGTACAAGAGAAGAGAACCTTTGAACGTGACGGCTGGCGTTAGGTGGGGCTTAGTCAAACCATGGGCTGACGAAGAAACTACAGGGGACGATGGCGCGACTGAATATAGATGGCGTACTGAGAAGCCAACAAAGTCCAAGGGGAGATCCGCAGCGGAGCACAAATTGTTAGGTAATGTGAACAGCAATTGCCGAATCTATTTCCCTACCAAGGAGACTGTGGAGGCCTCGAGGGGAGGTGTCACGGTATGGTCACCTGTAACCCCTTCATTACCCGATTGCGATTGCTAATCAAATACAGGGCGGAGGAACAATTTGCTTGCAATCGGTAGGTTTTACTAATCAGACATCAAACATCGTCAATCTCAAGCCAACCGCAAGCCTCTTCTAAAAGCTGTATGACCATAGAACCGCTGACTCTGTTCCGTAGAAGTGGTTCGACTCGGACACTTTCCCGAGAAAGCTGATGCGCGATTGCAAGAGTGTGAGAAAGGGCATATTGATGCATAACAAGATGATCTTCGCCAGAGCGAGGGATCAAAAGCAGTACCCCAAGATAGCATGGGCATACGTTGGGAGCCACAATCTTTCGGAAAGCGCAGTAAGTGATGTGATGGTCAAAAATAGATCTGATGTCCCTAAATGCACCCGGTACTGACTGTAGGTCTAGTGGTATGTGACCCGCCCATCCGTCCAACTCGGACTCGCTGTGATCTTGACTATTACGACATGGCTAGCTACTCCATCTTGGGGGTTTTCTCATATGTCATAATCGGAACCGATGACGGAATGCCCCGAGTTGCCGAGCCCTGGCGAAAGGGCCAGATGCATTTCTGCATGGCCTCTGCGAGCCACCTAGCAAACCCAGAGCATTCGCTGATTACATGTCAACAGGGGACGTCTCGTGAAAGACCGAGCGACCAAAGAGCCAAAGCTTACCTTGAGAAACTGGGAGTGCGGAGTCATTGTCCCGATCCCTGCAAAGGTTATGGCTGACAATGGCGATTGCCCGCGCTCCAACGGCGGCGTTGAGAATTCGGTAGGTATGGAAGTCTTCCACAGCCTCATCCCGATTCCCATGGCGGTTCCAGGTGAGGTGTATGAAGCTCGCCGACCTTGGTTTTACAACGAACTAGGGCCGGCTTCCCGCTAAGATAAGATAATGGCGCGGAAAATAAGCAGCATGGTCTGAAGATTTTCAAGTTGCGACAGCATCCTTTACGGCTAGTCGAAGACGGTGGTCAAGGATGTGTCGATCATGATCACGGCGCGCCACGTGAGCAGCTACTCCTACTACTACTAGTTGTACAACTACGACGTACCCCTACACGCCGATTCCCAGCACAAAAATTTCGTCGGAGGGGGTTCTTTTCTCATATTCTTTGCAAAGGCGTGCACCGTTAGTCTCGGCCCTCGGTCCATGGGGTTTGCTAGTTGTAATTTTAGGCACACTGTACTGCTACGGTACTGCTAGTTATACGGAACGGCGGAGATGCAGTGCTCGTACTCCGAGTCGTATCCGCGCCCATGCTCTGGAGCGGTCAGACGAGCGGCATGGGTGTACATAATCCAAATCACTTTCTACAGTAGTAAATTACGTAGGACTTACGCCTGAGACGTAGTACTACCGGTACGTACACCGTCCCCTCATGAGAGTCTAAAAGTCTGCGCAACAAATCAATACTTCAAAACCATCATCAACCAATCCTTGAAGATATGCTGGCATTCTCTTCTCCGTATATTCTTAGTTTCTGGAATAATCTACTACGACTACATATCTCCAATCTTATCGCGCCGGCATCAACCATCCGCATACCTATCCCGTATCCTAAGGTAGCTAAAGCTTAAGATATTAATGGAACTTGTCAATCTTGGAAAATTCGGAATGTACTCGGCTTCGCGTTAAGCACGTGTTTAGGGTCACGAGAATATACTATTTAGCAAGGGAATCGTGCTCAAGGTGTACTGTCCTTTGGACTCGGGTTTTCTCGTCGCTTGCAATTGATTTGTACTTTTATAAGTACGAATATATCTAGATAGTCGATATACTTCGTCTTAAGTGAAACAAATATACTTTCAAAGATTATTTAACTCAGGTTTTTGAAGTCTGTATAAATGAATGTTTATGGCAAATGCATGTTCTTTAGACTCCTTTGCAATAAATGCAGATTTTACACTCCTTACGGTATCTGCCTCCAGATTCAATCAGGCATTCCCTCGATACTTTGCCTTGCTTCGAGACTCGTTTGATTAATACGAAAAAGTTAATCTGTCCAAAGTTCATATACCGGTATAACGGACAAAGGGGGGAGAAACAGCTCACACGAAATGCAGTACTTATATCATTCAAGAACCCGCACCACAAGTACTTCTCAGCCAGATCATTTTGCAAGCAACCAGATTCGCAATAATCCTATCTATTCCTCACCTCTTTAAACACTATAGCTTACCATTTTACAACATCTCTCAATATGATTTTTATCAACACTATCTACGCAGCTCTGCTCGCCGCCTCTGCCGTAACAGCAGCACCTTCCCTTATCGAGCCTAGAATTCCAGGGGAGGCTACCCGGAAAATCAAGCTTTGCGAGGATATCGAGTATAAAAGATGCAACCCTGTCCTTTCTAGCTCGGGCGCGTGTAGTAAGAGTCCCCTTCCCCTTCCCAACCTCTCTGAAATCGTTGCTCACGAATCTCAAGTGCATGTTCCGTTTCATCTCGTAAACCACGTTTCCTCTTTCGATACCGGTCACATAGTCTGCACCTTTTATAGGTAAGTTATGGTTTTGTTTTCTCTTCCTCTTTTACCGCATATCAGCTTCCACGGCGGCACGAGCCAACGCCGCCAATTGCATTTGCCCTGCTCTTAAGGTCAAGCACTTATATATAAGCGGGGACGGTGATTCAAGTATATATAGCTGACTAAGATAGTGATGGCAATTGCTCTACCGCTCGGGGAAAAAAATATGTTAAATATGGCGGCCGTGTGAGCGATATTTCGCGTAACCCCGCCGTTTCCTTCCTTAAGGATGCGATCGCCTCTTTCAAATGCAATTATTGAAGAATATAACATCCTCTGACCAATCTGGATTGGGTTAGCTAGGGGCTAGACCTTGATGGTGCTGCTTTCGTTAAAGGAATCATCTTTATGTACTTCGTATACCTAAGCAGCAGCGGCAGCAATATACATCTATCAACGGTGATTTCCTTGATTTCCATTTCTCGTGCTGCGGTTATAGAAAGTATAGCTACGTAAGAGTAAGAGAAAAGGATGATGATTAATCTATTAATAGTATCGGAATATCAATACCTATCGACCTGCTAAGGCAGTTGGGAGTGATATGGCAGTACCGGTAAATAGGAAAAGGAGCAAAGAACACTTTACGTCATCATTATCACGAGCTCGTACTATCCCCTCCCAATGAATAGTAGTACATGTCGAAAGTATAATTTCACAGGGGATCTTACCAGGGCTCAAACCAATCAACTTGGAAGAATCCAGCCTGGAAAAGTTTATTTAGGTCAGTTTTTAGTCTGTATAATGGAGTTGACAGGGCGTTGAGCTATTCAGAAATCACCGCTCTACGATTTATGAGCCTAATCTGGGTCCGACATGTACTCATAGAGGGGGAGGGATAGTAACCTTGAGCTATATAGCCTCCCCCCTTTCTATAGATAATAGTCATCTTTTATTTCCCCTTTGTAATTCTCTCTCTTTTCTAGTGGCCTTTACTCAAGGAAACCTCTTTGATTCACGGAATCACAAGGGAAGATAAATTCTAGGCTGTAAATACGCTAGTCTTCAAAAAAGCGATTGAAACCCCGGACACCAATCTGATTTAAGCTATATTAAGGCCGCTTATCACCTCTTGCCTTCGTGCAAAGGAGTTACGTAGTACCAAGGTACAAGCGCAATTGTTACACCATCGAGGGTGCTCCAAAGGTTTAGTTTCCACTTGAACGCCCCTGGTTACCCTACCCTCGAGGGTGTAACAATTACGCCGCCTGTACCGTGGAACTACATATTTAGAATGATTTTCGACTCAAGGAGCGCCAGGTGAAACAAACATACTATAACCGGTACTACCTACACCGCCCCCTTATACGAGTTTAAAAGTCTACTTACCCACGGTACAGGCCCAAGTATTACCCCTCGAGGGTGCCTCAAAAGTTTAGTTCCCAGTATAAACCCCCTGGTTACCCTACCATCAAGGGGTAATACTTACGCCTGGGACGTATTACTACGTATATATTTTAAAACGGAAAGGATGTAGTACTTGTAAGAAAGCGAGCCCTCGATTACGTATTGCTCGTATTCTTTAAAAAGTATATATACGAAATTGCCCAGCCTCTTCGGAATCACAACTATATAAGATAAGCTATTCTTCATCCTTTCAACCACACAATTCGCCTAAACGATCACTCTTATTTCCCAACTCTATCATGCGTTTCAATAACAGCCTCCTCTTGCTCGCCTCCTTCGGCACCGCAATCGCTTTCCGTCGAAGTTGCAGGCCCGACAACACTAACGCCGTCACCGGCGCCGGCTTTTATACTATGGCAGAAGGCGACACCTGGCTTAATATCGCGGCCGACTTCTGCACCACCCTACCAGAGCTGCAAAGGATGAACCCTAGCAACCCTTCTAAACCAGGAGACATCTTCAGACTTGCTTGCAAATCTCGAAAGCGCGACTGCGCTAGGGTACCGGGCTATGAGGCTGGGTACTATACGATCGCCGAGGGTGACGAGTTATCACTTATTGCGCAAGATTTTTGCACAGATGCCAATGTTTTGGTGGGGGGAAATATCGGCGTTGATTTGACAAAACCACTCGTCCCTGGCACGACTATCTATGTTCCTTGCAATTGGAACTAGCTACCTACAGTAAAGGCTTTATCCGCGCGCTCGCTTTGCCTACTGCGGGCCTACGATAGGCATGGGATTGGCGACGGAATGGGTTGTGGGTTGGACTCTATCCTAGAGCTGGGATCTATTGAGCCGTTGGAGAAGATCCATTAAGCAGTTGGATTGCTCGTTTTATTCTTTTCGACAACAGGGTTGAGCCCAATGTATTTCGAGAGGGAAGAAGTTAGTGGATAGAAACTAGGTCTCCTCTTTATTTTAAGATGTCAAGGACTTGATTATCAACAAATAAAAACTTGATATCGACAAATCGATTCTTAGAGTGACGTATCTTTATATACTATATGGAATTTCGGAAGGTGGGAGGTTAGTAGATGGAAACTAGGTCTCTTTTTACTATAAAATAGTAAAAATTGATTATTGATAAATTAAAAACTGATATCGATGAATCGATTCTCAAAGTGACGTGCTTTTGTACATGTAGAACTAGTATTCATGTAATAATAATACTAGGTCATAAAAGGAAGCTTCAGATAAGTGTGGTTGTGATTAATTGATTGACTTGTATTCTCTAGAACTTGACTTGTATTCTTCAGAACTAGGAATTGGGGCGAGGTTGTAGTAGGTACCGGTATGGAAACCAGTGCTAAGGCCCGAGGTCCGTGCACTGTCTTGGTGGCACGTGCACCTTGCTCTCCTTCTACTTTACCTAGCAACATAACCCTTCAGCTAAAAGACTGGAATTAAAGGTGAGAAGATCGACGTATTCGCTAGAAGATAGAAAACTATCAGAAAAAGAGGTGACTCCTCAACTACCTGGTCCGTGCTCTCATCCTGTCACGTGGCCTGGCCCCACAAACACCCTTCTGTCGAGGCCTCATAAAGCTCTCCGGCAGCACCCAATTACCCACGGTACAGGCTTAAGTATTACCCTTCGAGGGTGCCTCAAAAGGTTAGTTTCCACTTGAAAGCCCCTGGTTACCGCAAGGGTGTAACAATTACGCTTGTACCGTGGTATTACGTATTTAGTAGATTGATTTTCGACTCAAGGAGGGCCAAATGAAACACACATATTACGCACACCGCCCCCTTATACCACGGTACAGGCCTAAGTATTACCCCTCGAGGGTGCCTTAAAAGTTTAGTTTCCACTTTAAAACCCCTGTTTTCCCTACCCTCGAGGGGTAATACTTACGCCTGCGACGTAGTACGAGTTTAAAAGTCTACTTATACGTAGTATTTTCTAAAACTGAAAGGATGTAAAGAGGCCTACTTAAGCGAGCCGACGAACTACGTATTGCTCGTACTACTATTTTTAAATACTAGCGATAAAAAGTATATATACGAACTTGCCGAGCGATGATTTTGCACTCACAACTATATAAGATAAGCATTCCTCTTTTGTGTTTTCAGTTTTATTGTACACTTTCATCATAGTGCTTAACAATCTTCTTGCAAGCTCGATTCGGTAAAACGATCGCCTTTACTTACCAAACTCCATTATGCGGTTCGAAAACAAGCTCTTCTTGCTCACCTCTCTCTTCGGCGTCGCAACGGCCTATCGTCGAAGCTGCAGGCTCAAAGCCACCGAAGGCGACACCGACCTCGGCTTTTACACCGTTGAAAAGACCGACACCTGGGCTCTTATCGCGGCCGACTTCTGCACTTCGGTAGCAAACCTGCAAGACTTGAATCCTTCCCCTCCGACTGCCACCAACCTGATCCTAACCGTTCCGTGCAAAACCCGAGTGCGCGATTGCGCCCGGATCTCGGGCACTAACTATGGGTACTATACGGTCGTCGACGGCGACGATTTGACAAATATTGCGTCGGATTTCTGCACCCAACGCGGTGGTATAATATCCTCAAACTCCGGCATCTATTCGGAATACGATCTTTACCCGGGCTTGATCATCCAGGTTCCGTGCCGTTGGAACTAGCTACTATTGCAATACCTACCTACGTAAAAAGGCCTTCCCCGCTCGCTCGCTCGCTCTGCTGAAGAAGTACTGCGGGGCTGTGATAGGCATGGAAATTCTCAGCGACGGAAAAGGTCGTGGGTTGGACGCTCTACTTTCGCGCTGAGATGTCCTCGGCAGTTGAACTGCTCGTCTTATCTTCTTCGATAAAAAGGGTTGAGCTCTATCTATTTCGGAAGGGAGGAGGTTCGTGGATAGAAACTGGGCCTTTCTCTCTATTTGAAAATATTTTTTTCAAAAAAAAAAAAAAAAAAACACTTGATATCGATTAATCGATTCTCAAAGTGACGTGTTTTTATACATGTAGAACTAGTATTTAGATAGTAGTAATACTAGGTCATCAAAGGAGCTTTTGATAAGTGTGCTTGTGATTGATTGATTGATGGACTTGTATTCTCTAAAACTCGACTTGTATTCTCCAGAACTAGGATATACTAGGTCATAAAAGGGAGCTTTTGATAAGTGTGCTTGTGATTGATTGACTTGTATTCTCTAGAACTCGACTTGTATCCTCCAGAACTAGGATTTGGAGCGAGGTTGTAGTACCTACCTACCGGTACAGTACCTACCTTACCTATAGGAACCAATGCCCAGGCCCGAGATCCGTGCACTCACTGCCTTAGTAGCACGTGCACCTTGCTCTCCGTCTACTTCATCTACTACGTACCTAGCAACACACCCCTCAGCTACCAGTTCAAGACCGGAATTAAAAGTGAGAAGGTCGATGTACTACTAAAGTATTCGCTAGAAGATACTTTTCCAAACCTTCAGAGCAGGAGGTGACGGAGGGCCTCAACTGCCTGGTCCGTGCACTCATCCCCTCACGTGGCCTGGCGGCCCCACAAACACCCCCCCTCTTGTCCCTCTTGTCCCTCTTGTCGAGGCCGCACGAAGCTCTCTCGAGTCCCGGGCGTAAAGTACTACTACGTATTGGCCCTCGAGGGCAGGGTGAGCCAGGGGGGTTTAAAGTGGAAAACTTAAATCTTGGGGTGGCACCCGCGAAGGGGTAATACTTAGGCCTGTCCCGTGGTACTACTACCTAGTAGTACCATCACAACTTCCTTTGATGGTCCCCTGTCCACGTGAAGGTTCCACGAGGGTAGCTTCCCGGGAGTGTCTTCCAGAGAATTCGGTGACCGGGATCCCATCTGACTTTTTTGTTTGTGTTTTTGTTTTCCAAGTACTATACAGAGTAGAGGTCTAGAAGGGAGTAAGTACTCGGGATCTGGTAGATGTAGTAGCAGGTAGGTACTACCGGTACGTACGTAGTAGTTGTAGAGTAGTAGTAGTAGCTGTACGGTACAACTAACTACAGCGGGTAGAACTAACTGTATTGAGTGCTTAAACATGCTGGTCCCTGAACGGGACTATCCCTATTGTATACTCCGTAGCTCCGTACCTCCGTACCTTCCGTACAACGTGGTACTTACAACCGTCCTTACTACTGTACTTACTGACTACTTAGTATAGGAGTAGTACAGAAGTTGGTACTCTGTAAGATATTCAACAGTTTGACATGGGAGCATTTGCCGACCCAAGGGTGTGGTGCAGGGTGGGACATCAGACCACTACCACGCGAGATCC